ATGTGAAAATTGAAAAAGTTAAATCTACTAAAAAGTGAAAAAAGATTAAATTTAAGAATTTATTTTTTAATGAATAAATTCTCCCACCTAAAGGGGGTAGAAAGAAAATGCAAAACAAACAGTTAAACGCCTTTGTAAGACTAAACAAAAAACTAGTTAAATGCTTTTTGAAAGCAAAACAAAAAATATATAAAGTGCTTTAGTTTAAAGCAATCAAAAAAATATTATAAATGCCTTTTATAACACAAAACAAAAATTTTTTTTCGATACAATCTTTCACTAAAATTAAATGCCTTTAAGTACCAATAAAAAATCAAAACTAAAATTATACTCAAGAGTATCCAAAATACGTGATTATTGTCACCGACACTCTCTAAATTTTTTCTTAACGAAACCCAAATGAAAAAAACTGAACTAAACCAAGGTATCTAATTATCGTGAAAACTCACTGACACCTATATAAAATCAACTAAAATTATAAATTTAAGTCTTATTGGTACTGAAATGCTTACAACAATATAATATGTAAAACGCTTTCGTAAAGCGAAACAAAAAATTATTTAAATGCTTATAAAAGCAAGACAAAAATAGGTAAAGCGCTCTTGTAAAGCGAAACAAAAAATTTACTTAACTGCTTATAAAAAAATAGGTAAAGTGCAATTTTCAACCAGCCAAAATTCTCTCAAAGTAGATGTAAAGTGGGCGCCATACTGTACTCAATCAATTTCTCCTCAGGGGATAAAAAACAAAACAAATACTGTAGGTAATATAAGTGAATTGAAAAAAACAAACTAAAAAAACTACTACCAATAGAGAGTTAAATATTTGGACTCGATCTAAGCTTTCGCTTAGTCCCGTACCGATAAAAAAATCTGGATTAAGGATAATGACAGATAATAGTCGAAACCAAATATACCAAAAATTGTATTACATGAAATACTTCTACACTCGTTTAGTCCCGTACTAGATCAAAAAATCTAGCTTAAGGATAGCAACACCCCTATTTGTCAATAGGAGACAATAACTGTCGAGTCCAAATCTGTATATACACTTATGTGTATACAGCCCGTTCAGAGTAAAACCAAATATATCTATATATATATGGGGCGTGGCCTCGCCTCCCTTTAACGCGCGAGACAGTAGCTAAGCAAATAGCCTGCATCGCTAATGAGATTTTTTCATTATTATCATTTAATTTTTTAAGTCGTCTTACCTGCTCGACCTTTCGTCATTTCGTTTATCACACAAGCTACTGTGACGCGCCTTGGAGGGTGCGAGGCCACGCCCCATATATATATATATATATATATATATATATATGACACCACTATATTATATATGTAACAAAAAGGAATTATGGTTAAACAAAAAAAAATTACTTTTTAACGGAAAATACAGTTAAACTAAAAAAATGACGTTGGGCGCCAATTGTGTAACTGTAAAAGTTAACGATGTTAAAAGTAATCAAAAATTTACCAAAAAATCCGTTATACGCACCGACTAAGTCAAGGTAGACGAAAAATGAGACTTTTCTAATGGGGGGGTTGTTCTCTTGTTAATCACATGATAAAATATACTAAAAATATACTGTGAAAAAATCAGTGGTTAAATCAAACAAAACATCTCAACATCCAAAATATCAATATTTATTCAATAAAATGGTAGCCCCTTCACGGTAGCTGTTATAACAATATAATAACTATAAAGTTAAATAGTAACACCCTTTGAGGGATTGTGAATCATAACAAAATAGTTATAAAATGTAAAATATTATTAAACACTCTCTGAAGGAGCAATGCACTAAAACAAAATTTATGGATTTAAATCTAACTATAGTTGTATATTAAAATAATATTTAAAACAATTTTGAAAAACCGTTGGACAGTTGAGTTGAAAAAAAATTAGCATATAAGTGTACTTCACCTTACTAACAGAAACTGTAGGTACTGTTAAAATCCAAAATCCAAGATTAACTTCGTATTGGTTGATTTGACTCTATCGAACCATTGAATGGGATATGGATCCATGCAGTAACAAGTTGTCCAAAGTGAGTTTAAGTGTCACAATTGAGGTTAACTTTGCCGGCTTTTGCAAACTCTTCAAAATAATGTGTAGTAGGTAGCAAAAAACCCAGTTGCAAAATTGCGACGTAGTATACCATCAAATTTATTACACTTTGAATCCAAATAAAAAACAGCGTGGCGTCTCCAAAAAAACCAATGCCCACTTACTGCGTAGTATCAAAATGGTAAAAATTCCAGAAAATTTATATTTACGTTAACCATTGAATTGGATAAAATACCGTAATTACGGTGAGTACTGTGAGTACGGTGAGGCCTTAACAAGATTAATTCCCATCAGTTAAACCCTAATTTAAAATTAAAAATCTTACCGAAAATATTTCCGGCCGTTTACCCACGAGAGTTGTATCGAAAAGAAGGTTAATTTCTATTCCCCTCGTGCCCTCGACAAATCAGCACACGCGCAAAACAAAACCCGATTTACATAACTAATTAAATAGATTAATAAGATTTTCATAAAAACGATTTTAATAGAATATTATATTTAATGAAATTTTATTAATTAAATATTAACTTAAAACAACAAATTGAAATAACAAAAACAATGTTATTAAAATAAAGAACTGTAATCAAAGTAAAACAATGCAACCCCGCTTACACCGCTAAAAATTACTTTAATTTGCAATAAAACGCACCAAAACAAATGTCGCGATTTTCAACCGTGACAGTTGTTAAAAAGAAGACAAAAAAGAAACAGGTCAACCTGTGAAATATTTAAATTAAGGAAGCAACAAGGTGCATACCATAACTTAGTGCGGAAAATGCGTCTTAAAGATGAAAAAAAATTTAGAAATTACCATAGAATGTCGGTTGAAGATTTTGATAATTTGGTGGAAATAGTTTCACCTTTTTTACAAAAAACTTTTATTTCCCGTGAATCAATAATGCCAGGGGAAATGTTGTCAGTTACACTTAAGTAAGTTTATCAAAAAAAAAGTCTACTAGTACAACTTCTCTTTCTATATTTCAGATATTTGGCATCTGGTGAAAGTAATGAAAGCATTTCGTATAGCTATAGATTAGAACTAAGCATTGTTTCTAATATTATTAAAAGCACATACTCTGCTATTTGGAAAGGTTTAAGTGAAGAATATTTGCCATGCCTGTGGGATACAGGACAAACTTGGAAAAAAATTGCTGTTGATTTTGAATCAAAGTGGAATTTTCCCAATTGTGTGGGTGCTATTGATGGAAAACACGTGTGAATACAAGTAATTATAAATTTATAGGAAGAAAACTTATAAACGTGATCGGCAAATGGGAGCTTCAGCCTCTTAAAGGGGCGCCCTGAAAATGTTTTTTTATTATTTCCAAAATAAAATTTTATATGCTTACTTACATTATGTTTTTAGGCACCTCAACATTCTGGTTCAGATTTTTTTAATTATAAGGAATTCTTTAGCATAATATTGCTAGCAGTTTGTGATGCAAATTATCGTTTTACTGTTGTTGATATTGGTGCAAAAGGGAGACAAAGTGATGGAGGGGTTTTTTGCAACAGTAGTTTTGGAAAACAATTTTTCTCAAACTCCATTAATTTACCTGCTCCAAGAAAACTTGCAGATGATCAAGAACCAACTCCATACTGTTTTGTAGGTGATGCAGCATTTCCCTTTGGAGTTAATTTAATGCGACCATACCCTGGAAACTTTCTTCCACAAAATGAAATAATTTTCAATTATAGGTATAAATGGCCTAAATATTCTGTTATAAGTATTTTTTAATAGAATTTTTATGTTACAGATTAAGTCGTGCAAGAAGAACAATTGAAAATACATTTATCATTCTTGTTGCCAGATGGAGAATATTGGAAAAACCAATTATTGCAAAGCTGGAAACAGTTGAAAAAATGATATGTGCACTTGTATGTCTGCATCTTCAAATTTTGTAGATAGAGAAACAGAAACGGGAGAACTTATTGCTAATGCTGGAAGAATGGTTGGAAATGCATATTTCCAAGGAGAAAGTGCTATGCGCAATTCATTAGCCGATTATTTTGTCCATGTGGATCCAATTGCATCACAATTTTTAAAATGAGCTGTACTTTGTAATGTTATTTTTTAATATACAGAATTATATTTAAAAATAATTTTTCTTTACTATAGAGTAAAACTGTTAATATACAGTGTGTTATTTTAAGTACGTGGCCAAACTTTAGGGTACGATTCTTTGAGTGAAGACGAAAAGTTCATATAAACATAGGTCCGGAAATGCTCCGTTTTCAACTTACAGGGTGTCAAATCTTTAAAAAAAATCATTTTTTCCCAAATATCTTAATAATCCTTTAGCTGATTTTGTTGAAATTTAATAGTGTTATTAAGGGCAGTAAGGGGCTAACTAGATTTAAATTATTAAGTCCACTGGCGTCCCTGAAGACACCTGAATCAATATTTTTTACAAAAAAAATGTGCGCCACTGACTTTTTTGCAATTTTTATATTTTTTTCACATTAAGCAACTTAAAATACAACTTTTTTATCTCCAGCATAGTTTTCGTATATGGCTTCGTTTTTGAGAAAAAAAATAAAAATATCTTTATTGCATGTACATGAGACAACATAATGAAAAATTAAGAAAAATAATAAAAAATCGTAAATAACAATACCCAAAGTAATATGACTTTAAAACTTAAAGACTAATGCAAATGAATGAATGATTATTGAGATATTTTGGAAAAAACAATTTTTTTAAAGTTTTGACACCCTGTAAGTTGAAAACGGAGCATTTCCGGACCTATGTTTATATGAACTTTTCGTCTTAGAATCACTCAAAGAATCGTCCTTTAAAGTTTGGCCACATACTTAAATAACACCCTGTACCTACTAAAATGCTTGGTGGTGATGTGATAATGAAACAACATAATATGTATTTCTATTCACCAGAATGCTCTGCATGTAGTGAATATACTTTATTTAAAATATCAATCTCTGCCTGCATTCTCACCCTGACAGGCAATTTTTCCAAGATCGACTGAACAGTTAACTAGTAGGTTTTGAAGGAGGTCCTCATGTTTGTCTGAAAAATAATAAATAATATAAATAACAGCATATTCCCCACATATTCACACTTACCACTGGTTTCTTTTCGTTTTAAAGATGGGGTTCTATCAATTGAACTCCAAGAGGAGCACGATGGTGACGAAGACATTAATGGAACTTGTGTCTCCTTTATAATATTTGAATGGGTGGGTCTTGGAGCATTCTTTTCTGCCAAGAAGAAAAGTAAATCAAAATATTTCCACTTTTTCCCCTTTTCATATCGGCCTGACCCAGATGGTGTATATTTTCTAAAAAATTATGTATACATTTAATTGGGCTCCAATCACCCTTAAATTCCTCCACTTTTTATCGAGTTGGTTTAATGGAAGAGACCCATTTATTTCAATATGGACATCCATCCACAACTTCTCCCTAACATCGCTTCCTCGATTTTTTAAGGGCAATGTGTGGTCCCATAAGGCAGGTCTGGCTTGAACAGCCTCTACGAATTTTGGGACCACATCATTGGATTCCCTTGCTTCGGCCTCATCAACAGGAATTGGAGCATCACTGTACTGCAGCATCCCTAACTCCTGTTGTTCCCTGCACTCGTGATCATCACAATGTGTTGGGTCAATAAGCGCTCCACAATCAGCGCATTCATATTGAAACTTAAAATATACTTAAATAGTTAGTAACTTCTAACAATCTATATAAATTAAACAATGTACCTCCAAAAATTCCTTGTCCATTGCAATTCGCAGAAAACTGATCAGAAAAGGCACTATTTAAACTCTATTTAAACAACAACAAAAACACTAAAATAACAGAGATAACAAGTTTACCACACAATCGTAAACAAACACTATAAATGGCGAACGAAAACACTTATTTATTTGTACGATAAGCAATGCGCATGAGCAACGCATGCGTATCACGTCAAATTCGTGCGATTTTCGCAACATATTGCATCAATCTCAAGATTCCCGCCCCCCAGATTTCAAATCTTGCGAATTCGCAGGATCTGTCAAAACTTCGCAACGCTTTTCCCGCCAAATCAAATGGACCAATGGGAGCATTTTTCGCATTTCGCAATTCGCATTTCGCATCTATATGAAACGGGCATATCTTAGATTTGCATAAAACATATAAACTTTTAATTTTGAACATATTTTTAAATTAATTAAAATTTATTGTATAATTGATATAATTATATATAAGGGTTTAATTAAAACAATTATTATTTTTATTGGTTTAAATAGGTGTTTATTTATAAAAAATGTTTTGGTTTTTGCGATATTTATATTAAATAATATTCAAGCATATTATGCTTATGTGATTGCTTCTAACAAAAAATAAATTAAAATAATGTATAATCTAAATAACGTCGCTTACTAAGCTCCCACCTAAAGTATGGTGTGATAATATTTTTTGTCGTTATTCAATAAACTTATTTTATTGAATATCGACAAAGTTTTTGATGAAATATCAGAAAAGGTATTTGGACATTTAAATGAAATAAAACACAAGTTACGCTGTATACGACGTCTATTGAATTAATGAATTATAAAAACTCACATACATGGTAAGAGGTCTCCAAAAGAAAATAAATTATAATTATAATATAAATTAACATAGCTTATAAATTATCATATCGTAAATAATACATTAGAAATGGAAACCTTATTGTTCTATAAACTACACTTATTCTTTTTAAAATAAACCTAATTTTTTTCTTAACAAATTAAAACGCTGGGCAGGATGACCTTTTGTAAATATGTCTGCAACCTGTTCACCTGTTGGAATATACAATAAAATTATTATACCCTTTTGAATTTGTTCTCTTGTAAAGTGGTATTTAATTTCTATGTCTTTCGATTTTTTATGTTGTACTGGGTTATTTGCAATGCTGATGCAGCCTGTATTATCTTCGTAGATAGGAATTTTTCCCTTTACAATAATATTAATACTTTGTAATAAATATTTTAGCCAGATAGCTTCTCTTACAGCTTCAAATATTGATATATATATTCGGCTTCTGTAGAGGAAGTCGCTACTGAGTTTTGTTTACGGCTATTCCAGCTGACGTCTTAATTAACTCTGCATAAGCTCTATTTTATGATTTTAACGTCAGATCCAACATCGAAAAGAAGTTTTTAAGAATTTCTAAAAACTTCGAATGCGCCACCTACCGAAATAAATAAGACTTCTTAAAAAAGAACTCCTACAACCTAAATTCATAAAAAGACTTCTTTAGGAATCGTTTTTCTGAGCTCTTTAATAAGAGGTTGAAAAGAAGTCATACTCAAGAAATCTTAAATAAGACTTATTAAGAATTTCCTCTATTGCATATTTATTACTAGGGTAGAACCACCATTTATTGACATCCTAAATATTTCCATACATGGAAATGATATATCATTAATAAACAACAGAAATAACACTATATAGTTAATATATTTTTACAAAAAAAGTGCATGTCTACTTTAGTTAAAATGTCCAGAACCGATGCATCTACCCTATAGGGCAGCGGTTCTTAACCTTTTTGGCTGGCGACCCACAATTCAAAAATATTAGAAGCTCGCGACCCGATAAAAAATAAAATCATCAATTTTCTACATTTTCTTTATTTAAAGTAAGTTAAAATTTTTTTTAGGAACACAAATCCCGCAAATCCCGCGACCCATCTCGATATGGCCCGCGACCCAAATTTGGGTCGCGACCCGAGGTTAAGAAACGATGCTATAGGGTATATACATATATGTATTTTTAGGAATGTAAACAACTTATCTTAAATTATATTCATTTATTTATTTATTGAAACCAACAGTTTTATATAATATATATATAATATATACATATATATATTTATATATATATATATTATATATATATATATATTATATATACATATATATACATATATATATTTTATATAATATATATATATATATATATATATATATATATATATATTAAAAAAGAAAATATACAATAAAATAAATATATTAAAAAAAATCTAAATAAAACTTTATAAAATCTCTGTTTATAGTAAAAACTCAAAAATTATTGCGCATTATGTTTTTGGGCAGCATCCTTGACATGCCATGTTGGAGCCAAGACATAATCGCTTGTTTAATGTCGAGCAATGAGCAACTTGGATTGGAATTAGCAAGGGTATCTAAAATTATTACATAAATTTATTTAAATAGATAAATTTTCTGGGTAAAGAATTATTTTCCCAGTTTATTAAAAGCTAGTAAACATTTCTTTAATAAAAAAATTGCTAACAATGTTTATTACAATTTTTTCTTGTTTTTCAAAGTATTTAAAACACAATATATGTTTTAAATATATATTTTTTTTAATTATAGATCAAAAGAATACAACTTACCTATCAAAAGTTTGATGAAAGTCATATCTCCAACCTTAATAGTTTTTTTTGTCCACTCCAGGATAATTTACAGCACAACTCATCGGTTAAAATAATCTCTAATAGTTTTTTTTCCATTAGGACCTACTCTTAACTTAATAAGTCTTTCCTGTAAAATATTATGTTGCAAAAACAATTGTTTCAATTATTAATTAATTTAAATATTAAATAACAAATTTTTCTGTGTATTGTCCATATTTTTATTCATCAACAATATATCGAGTTTTCGGCAAATCATATCTAGTTTGGAGCGACATGCAGCTGTTAACAGAAAAAAATCATCCTTTTCACCATTGACCAAACATGAGTTTATAAAATAAAATACAATTGAAACCAAAAATAATAGGCACAAAAGAAATTTTGGAATTAATTTATACTTACGGCAGCAGTTTTGACATGATACAACAGATAGTTCCCCAGTATTATTATAGATTATCTGATCTACAAAAATAGTACCAGCCTCAGTTTCTTGTTTGTCCATTTGACTCAAAGCATTTTGCTTCAAACCAGAACCATGGTCTGCAGACACAGTTTTTATCTCTTGATAATTATCATCATTTACAATCCTACATGGGATATAATTGTCACCTTTACCAAACAAAGTATTTAATTTATTATAAGGTGTATTTTGTTTTTTTTTATTTCATGCTGAGAAGTCTCTAGAAAATAGAATCATTTATTGTTGTTAGTATATTATACTAACAGTAATAAATGATTATAATTACTATATTATACTAACAGTAATAAATAATTCTATTAATAATATTACTATAGTATCCATTTTTATGGTGAAACCACAATAAAACACTTACGAAAAATTTGAACGTCACATACATCCACTTTTTTGCTTATACTTTGCGTTTGTTGCATGTGTATCTGGTAAATGATCATCAACTTCTTCATTATTATTATCAGGAGGGACCACATAATTTAAAAAATGTTTTGAGTTTATTTCAACTTTTGGACTAAGATCTGTGACAAAAGATTAAAATGGTCAGAATTGTAACTTTTTGAATTAATTAAATATACAGATGAACTAAAACCGTACTTTTATCTTCATCATCACTACTTTTACATTCTTCACTACTAGTGCTGTGACTGCATGGTACAAAACGTGCTGGCACTTTGCGTGTACGTTTTGGAATCTCTTTTTGATTGTTATCGAGATTTTGCAAAGCTGTTTCGTCACCTGTTGATATATCAACAGCAGCAATCTCAACTGCCCTGGCAGTTTCAAAGTTTTCTTAAAAAAAAACCAAAATTTAGATCAAAAATATAAAAAAATTTAGAATGTTGAAGTTAAATTTATTTATATACGTTTTGTTGGAAAAAGGCATAATTACTTATATAAGTAAAAAAAGCAATTTTTCAGTAGAGCACATATCATATACCTATGGGGCAAAATTTCCCAGTGTACTACCCACTAAATATTAACTTTCCCAATATTTTTAAAATTTTACTAAATTATAGTACCATTTATTAATCCTAAAAAGAATTAATGGTATAATGGATAAGAAGTCTAATAATGGGATGGAAATTGCTTTGGAGACTTTCTACTACTTGCGCTAAAGCTCAGGTGTGTTATCTGTCATCTTGACACCTATCAAAGAATTGCTTGATGATAGATGACAGATAACAAACTTTTGTGCTTTAGCTATAAATAATTTCCAGCCCATTAATTAAATTTATATGGTTTTAAAGCCAAAGAATTGAGCTCTCTAATGGGTTTAATTTTAAATTTTTTAAACACATTTTTTGAAAGAATTAAAAAATTATTTAAAATTTCGACATTTTTTTAATTCGCTTTTAATGAAAAGAATGAAAAAAGAGCTAAAAAAACAATTTTTAATTCTAAATATTTCATATCATTTAAAATTTTTTCAAAGGAAAACTGTAAACTTTTTTAAACCTGTAATTTAATAATGAGAGGTAATGAAGCAAAATCATCTAAAGGATTAATGGTTAATAACTAGTACCTACTATAATTTAGTAAAATTTGAAAAAGATTTAAAAAGAGAAAATTTGTTTGGTGGTTAATAACTAGTACCTACTACGAGTATAATTTAGTAAAATTTGAAAAAGATTTAAAAAGAGAAAATTTGTTTGGTGGTACACTTGGGAAATTGTGCCCTATATATGTGCTTGCAAAAG